AATATTCTTAATAAATGGCTCTTAAAATCAATCTAAAAGTAAGCCAGTAGAAAAAGTCATCAACATTTACCCGGCAACGGAGCTGAGTTACTGCGCCGGTGTGTTGGGTTGGCGCACCAATCCATTTGCGCATCACTGCGCCAACTCCTCAAAATCGACTGAGTTACCCAGGCCTAGTTAATGCTAACCATTATGAGAAAAACGACAGAAATCAATCAAAAAACATTTATTTCCATCAATCAACCCCTTTGCAAGCTGATCGTATCGTACATAATCTGTCCAATACTGATATGGAACTCAATGGTGTTTTCCCCGTCGACTACCTGAGCATTGGTGACGGTAAAAACATTTGAAGTGTACTGGCCACTTTGCATGGCACTTCTGTAGATTGCATGGTCATTATCGTAGTAGTTGTCTCCCACTCGGTGTCCATTCACTAAGACCTGCAGATGGGACTTGCTGGATGCTGCTATGGCGACTCGCAACGTCCTGGAGTTTCCATCGGGCGCGTCTTGATACTTGATGTACCACGATCCAGTCTGAGATTGAGCGTAGTACCTGAAGAAGAAGAACCAGAGTTATGTTCTTCAACATTTTGATTTTTTCACATTGAAACTCCTCAGCTATGCAAAGTCAACACAAAACTTACCAGTCCTCTTTGGGGTTGCTTGAGCCAACAACAAAAGTGTTCTCAGTGGGCGGCACCCATTCCCATTGGTAGTTGCGCGGTTGGTCCGAGTACTTAAACTCGCTGGAAAGTCGGTTGGCTTCGCCCAAAGACCAAATGATGTTGCTGGGCTCCGTCAAGGTAAGAGCTACGTGCTCTCGGCCGCCTGCAAAACACATCCGAGCCTTTTGAAACAGTCCAAAAACAGGCAACTTTGTTACCTGCAGTTACTGTAACTGTTGATTCATCCAGACTATCGCTTCCCAAGCCGGCTGTTGGATAGGCGGCGATTCTGTAGCTGCCAGGACGCACATTGCTGATCGCATAGTAGCCTTTGGAGTCCGTTTCGGCAGCGTACAGATACCCCAGTTGCTGCTGGTCGAATTCTTCACCAGTTGAGTCCCACAGAACCACTGTGGCGCTCTTCTGCCCGGAAACAGTTCCGCTCACTTGACCTCTACAAAGAATAGTATTGTAACGGAAATGGCATGGGATACTCACGTTTGGAATGGGGGGATCGAAATTCATGGTGTTTCAGTAAATGGGAGCCCCATTTGGGCCCCATTTACTGTCAAATATGACCCTGACAAGCGGGAAGTTTCGCACCTGTTCTGGAGATTTCGAGAACCATCTGGGTTACCTGGAGGAAACTATATAAGCGACGAAGAGAACCAGACGGGGAGAGTGAAGTGACAGGAGCGACCGAGTTCAGAAGAGGTTAAACACCGCGAGTCGGAAGAGCGAGTTTTCCGTCTGTTATTGTCATTGTTTGTGACGTTGACGGTAATTTTGAAGTTAGTTTGTTCCTGTTCCGTAGTTAAAGTGATACCGAGTGGAATAAAAGTTGGAAGCTGAAGAAAGAGTTTGATACCCAGCCATCCACGGTACATTTGGTGTCAGAAGTGGGATTTACCAGAATCCAAGTTGAATTTTGATGGAAACAAGAAGTGAATCAAAGAAGGAAGAGCCTGCAATGGAGAACCCCAGTTTGATTGCACTGCTCATGCAGATGAAAGACGAAATGAGCAGAATGAGTGACAAAATGGAAGACAACAGTAGGAAAATAATGGACGAAATGAGCGACAGCAGTAGGAAAATGGACGAAAAATTGACAGAATGAATGACAAAATGGAAGACAACAGTAGGAAAATGATGGATGAAATGAGCGACAACAGTAGGAAAATGGACGAAAAAATGGACAAAATGAA